TCGATGTAAGTTCATGTCCTATTGTTGACATAAAAGAATTCCTAACAATTGCAGACAGGTCATCAGTTGCTGCATTAGTCATACTACTAACCTGATAAAGAACAGCCCATGGGTCTACATGTCATGCCTGCATGATGTAAAACAAGAACTGACACCGCGTAGAATCTTCTGGACTCTGAATATTTCCCAGATGCTTAAAACAGAGAAGCTTCTACACTTTTGCTGCCTATTAAAAAAAAGTATGTATCAGTATTGATAGATTAGTCGCTGTTTGAAACCCAAATAAGGACACATTTTCATTGTAATATTAATACCCAGGCAAGCAAAATATTGTGGAAAGTAAGACCGAAGAAGACCATATTTGCCAGGTTTCATACAGACAATCTTGTGATATTGTAAAGATTCCAGTATTTGCAGGATAGATTGTTAATTCTATTACTGTGCGTCCTGACTAAAATCCCATCAGCAGCCAACTGTTTTTAAAGAATGTCATTTTCCTGGACAATAGTTAATGGAAATTGTATTCTCTGAGAAATTCAGTTTTGAAAATGAATGATGTGAGAGGATAATTATGTAATATCTGGGGAATATCTAGACATGGAGCAGTGTTATGAGTAAATAAAGCATAACATCATAAAGAAAAGTTAAGAGCATAACAAATGACAGGAAGAGAGTCCTGAAGTCTCCAGGGTGGGGCAAGGCTCATAATTACTGCATTATTAAGCAGCTAAAAGCCTGACTTTGAAAACCAGATTACACAAGAATATAATATAGTTGCTGGGAAGGGGTTGGTTCACCAGTGGCCCCTTATCCCCAGTGGGCTGTCTATGATGGATGATATATTTACTGTGTTTTTTTAATTTGGCACTAAAATCCTGCACTATAAAAGTGACCGTGTTTGGTTTGGTTTCTAAATAATCTGTACACCATGCACGAGCTTTGATATATGAACTGCCACCAATAAACCTAATTAACTACCTAGCCCAGCGTGATGAGTCAGGATTATGATTGTAACTGCTGTCTATTCTTTAACCTCGTGACCTTGGTAACCTTTAAGATTATCATTTGCTCCTGTTTGCTCCTGGCTCTTTGTAGGATGTTGCTGTGCACAGATTGGCGGCAGCATTCACCTATAAAATACAGTCACTACACTTTACAGTAAATCCCGCACTTTGCCATGTCCTCCTGACATTAATAGTTTAACAAATGCGAGAATTATTATTATGATTATTATTAAGCGGCACACCCAATGATGATCAATGGCTAGCCCGTGATGAACGGGCAACTTTTAAGGATTTTAAAAACAAACAGAACTCTTTTAATCTATCTGCATTCAAAATCTGTGTAAAATTCTTCTTAGAGATTGCACATTAACGTACAATCTATTGTGCAACTATTTAAAATTCATCTTTTTTAAAACGCCATCATTTCTACACTGCACCATGTTCATTAATAATAGCCTTTTAAAATAGAACTGTTTATTTTTTTTCCAATAACAAGGTGGTGGAATGGAGCTTTCAAGGGAAGCCTTAAAAAATGGTCGGCAAACATATCATTATAAGCACGCAATTGAATAATGTCCATTACATTACATCGAACGCTGCAGTCAATTTGCGCAAAACAATGTCCCACAAACATTCATGAAGTGAGTAACCAATTTTATTTTGGGGGCATTGTTGGCCAGGACACCGGGAGAAAATCCCTTCAGTTTTTAATAGTGTCATTTATCGTCCACATGAAAAAACAGAAGGGACCTCGGTTTAATGTCTCATCCAAAGGAGTGACAACCTAGACTGTGAGTTCTAAGTCCCGAGGTAGGATTTAAACCCATAACCTTCTGACTCAGAGGCAACAGTGCTACAATTGAGCCAAGCTGACACCTATCATGCATATATATATGCACCGCACTTCTTTGTTACCCTATTTCAAAATCCCCATGAGTATAAACAGCCGTCCTTATCCCAATAATCATCATTAATATGGATTTAATTGAAGTATGTCATTAATCCCATTCACTTTCAAGTATGTTTTCTTGTACAGAGATCGCCAACAAGAATTAACATGTTCCCTGAAATGAAGGACTAATTAGTGACTGAACAGCGATCAGAACTATATCGAAGGCAACAGAAGAAGTTCATGAAAGCTTTCCATAAATTGCAACAAAAAGCATGTTGCAAGATGTAACAATAGACACTTTAAATGAAAGAACCAGCAACAGGTCCAGACTGTCAAGTACCTTCAGATTGGATTTGAATTTATGAAGATTACTTTACCTGGGGTTCTAGTAATCTAAGTCTCTGTAGTAATTCACATTCGCTCTCATTTCAAATGCAGTCAAAGAGTGCTGTATTTCAAAATGACACTGTAATCACAGTTCCACATTAAAAAGTCATTATTGTTTAGAATCCAGCTCGGTTAGGCAAACACTTACTATAAAATTCAAGAGCCTTTGTAAATTACCTACAGGTTTTTACTCAGGAATACAAGGCAGCATGATTTAAAATGTTGACTTACTATTTTATTGATTGTATGAGATTTTATGCTGTTACTTTGACTGGAGTGCTTAGTGTGCAGACCAAAAATGGACTTACCTGGAATAGTTAATAAATAATTATGTACTGCCCCATTTCATCGGATTGGAATGCAACAATTACCCACATGATTTTATACCGGCACATCATAAAATAAATGACTGTTCTTCCCACACAGGATAATTACATAAGTGTGCACCATCATCATATTTTATTCCAAAAATGTAGAGAGAGAGCTCTTTCTAAAAAGAATTCAGCTTGAGTTATTAAATTAGTATACGAAAATGGCTTTTCCAGAAAGTATAGGCGTTTGTATTTCATTTGAAGTGAATAAAATGTATTTGCTTTGGTTTAATGAAGGATAAGAAGGGAGGGAAATAACTTCTGTAAGAGCAGAAAAAAGTCAATCTTCTACTTGAGGCATCCTCGTGCCCGCACTACCCTATCTCAAACACTCTCCTTCAAAATAATTACCCTCAATAAGCGAACCCAGAGTAAAACTGCTTGCAAAGCAAATAATAAAAAAAAAGCATTTCTAACATTGGATTGATGGAGGGCGGTTGTTGCTACACAAGCCATCAATTTAAAGCGACACAAACAGTTACATGTTACTTAAATATGAAATCAGCTTTTTTCCTTGCATTTTTGTAAATCACATCTTCATAGGTTGTGGAGAGGTTTATTAACGATAACAAATTATAACAATCCTTGCAATTATTATAGCGCCTTATCACATTGTTGAGGTCTCAAAGCGCTTCACAGGATATACTGTAATGTGATGTGACTGAAAGTATTTTATAAGCGAACACAGCAGCCAACAATGTCCCACAAACAGCTATAGAGCAAGTGACCAATTATTACCCAGTCATTAAGATCACCAGACTTTCTTCCGCTGCAATATGTGGTAAATACTGCAAAATGGCCAGTCCATCCTCTTTGTATGTGTGTCTGCATTATTGTGTACGAGTTTCCATTGAAAAGTAATTGCAGCATGAACCTAGAACAATACTTTCGGATGCACCAAGACATTACAACAAGAAGACATAGGTTTAGGGTTGCAAATGGTAATTTCAGGACAGACCCCAGGAAGTATTTCTTTACCCAGAGGGTGAATAATAATTAGAATAGGTTACCAGGTGCAGACCAGAATGCTAGAGACCGAGATAGGTTTTACTGTTCGAAATTCAAAGTTGAGGAGCTATCACAAATTCAAGGATCTGAAACATGAGAATACTAAAGGAAATGTTCCCAGTTTCAATCTAGAACCCTTTCCTTACTAAATTTATCTTGGTCTTTTGTATAAGCACAGAAGCTGTATGCTCTTGGGTTGCTAAAAAGCATCAGTGCTGAAAATACTTCTTAACCACCAGGGCATTTGTTGATTAGCACAAAAGTAACTCAGTTGATGTACCAGTAAATGTATTGCTACCATCATCACATAAGGTGGAAATTCTAGTTACTTCTGCCTTAGTAATAAGAGATGGTATTTATTGATAGACTGTGAAGCCAGTGAAACTTGTAATATATAAGCATTTTGCAGTGGCTCTACAATTCTACGAATCAACAGAGCAAGTAACTAGAATACCAATGTGTATGGATTTTACAATGAAGAAATGTTGGAACAAATACTTTAACCATGACATATTAACAGCTGCAGATTGGGTTTAAGCTATATAAGCTACATTATTTCCATTGAATGCTGTTTGGAGAGGAAAAACGATTTAGAATCAATAGGTAGCACATACAGTACAGAGGCTGATCACATGGCATTACTTTAATGAAACCTAACAGAACATGTAAATGGCATTATTTTTAAGACTAGTTTAACTTCGTACATGCAGTTTTACTTGAAATAAAGCACCTCACATATCATTTTCACAGCTGGATTTACCCCACATCGACACCAAGAAATTGATAACTAGGTTTGCAACTTTGATATTATCTATAAAGTCAGGGCATGCCTCACTCAGGTCCACATTTTGGTTTTACAGATATTTCAAAACCTTAAGTCTGAAAGTCCATAAGATATTACTGTGAAGTGTAGTGACTGTGTACTTGGAGGCCAATTTGCACACAGCAATGTCCCATAATCAGCCATAAAGCGGGTAACCAATTTTATTTGGGGGATTGTTGGCTAGGACACCATGAGCAAGTCCCTACTCTTTTGAAATAGTGCCAAGGGATCTTTAAAGTCCACCTGGACAGGCTGTTTAATGTCTCATCTGAAAAACGGCACCTTCGACCATGCATCACAGCCCCACCTCTACATTGGAGTGATAGCTTAGAGTGTGTGATCCAACAGATCCTATCCTCAATCTCGTATTTTGGAAACTATCCAAATCTGCCAATGTACAATCACATTAATTAACAATTAATGTGCAACTAACTACAGTTATCACATCTCTGTTTAATTTTTAATATAGTTTTTGTGTGCATTTTATAAAAGGAAGGCATCAAAGACCTTACACTATTAATGCTAATTCATATTTGTTGTACATTTATAGCAGACAAGCCAATGTAAATGGTCAATTACACTTAACCACAACAGATTCGAAATTTTCTCTTGGTCTAGGTCTATGCTGTGAAGTCAGATATTACTGCTTGATGTGAATCACCAACCAGAATTGACCTAGGAAAATGGTTAAACTCCAAGGAATTGCGTTCACCTTGGGTCATCCTGATGCAAACTGAATGCAATCATATGGGGCTGACACCATCAAGTGAGTATATCTGTCTCAACCTGCTTTTGTTGCTCTGTGATTCGTTTTTTCTTTGAGATTGCACTTTCTTCTCGATCGGTGTTTTTTGGATATCCATTATTCTTTCAGATTTTGCTTTTTTTGTGTCTTTCTCGCCCTTTCTTTTCTTCCTCAACACTTTTAAATCAGCTCTGCTCAGTTTATATTTTTCTTAAGATAATATTTCACTTGCCTATGAGACTTGTCAGCTGCAAATAGAGCCAGCAAATCACATACAGACAAAGGGAAGAAAATTCCAACAAAATAGCGGTGGGTAGAGTATATTGGATGGCTATCAGTGAATTAAAAGACAGTAATCCCATCATGAGGTTCAGATGAGCAGTTTAACTTTACCAGTTAAACCCTGTAATTGGATTCACATCCAGGGTTCACTGACAGGATTTCAGTAGTATTTGTAATATTGCAGGAGATTAAAGTGGTGACAACATTAATGGTTTGTTTGTTTGACATTACAGGTGTCTTCCTTGAGGCAGCTCAACATGGCGTTGCCCCTCACCGATGATTACTTTCATGATGTAGCACTTTCGATAGTGAATTACATAAATGCTCACTACAGGTACATATAATATGCAATAAACGTCTCAACTACTATCAGACATTTCAAGTGAGCTATATCAAATGCAAGGATTAGTTAGTTAGTTATTATTTATTTATTTACTTACTTACGTTGTTTGCTGGTTATATGTGAAATATACCCTACAGTTCCTGTGATGGTTTCTAAAGCCTCTGGGGAATGATCTTGCATACCAAATTTGCATTTTCAATTTATCCCAGTGCACTGGCTAGAGCTACATTAAAGTGAGAAGAGAAATACTATACACAACAGATACAACCAGTGTGAGAATCCACTGGAACCAGAACAAAGATCACCATCAAACTGCAGGAAACCATAGGTAGAAAAATATTGATTAGGTAGGTTATACAATAAGAATACCATGAAATGATGTTAATTTCAATGTGCAATCCAGCCCATAATATTATTCTATACTGCTTGTAAAGGGATGAGAGCCAAGACTTGCAAATCACATTGTACAGACTCCTTGCCCCTTACCCCAATGACATTCTGTCACATCACCTGACAGCCCGTACCGTTTACAAATGCTGTAAGGATAATCTGCGACCTTTAAAGGCTGTCTTTAGTAACTAGCAAAAACAACATTTGATAGACACATCAGTGAATATTCTAAAGTTAGGTCATTTTTGGTCCAGGTGTGATGGACAGTAATGCGTCCACTTATTATTAACAACATTTCTTTTAAACCCTTAGATTACCTATACTAAAGTAATGGATGTGAAGCAAATTGCTATAATAAAAAAAGACTGTATGAACAAACTACAATGCATCTATCCAATAAGATTTACTAAACTAAATTGTAGAACAGATTATCTTTCTAGGGAAAACAGGTGCACCTCAATATGTATTAAATGTGTTTTACCTGAATATCTGACAGAAATGTGTAGACCAAAGTGTGAGAATAATAAAACCTGTAGAGGACAAGCAGCGCTAAGTCTCACTGATTTAATGTAATAAGGTTTATGTTGAAACTAATAATAATAATCCTTGCATTTGATACAGCGCCTTATCACAGAGTTTCAAAGTGCTTCACAGAATATACTGTAAAGTGAATTGACTATATATTTTGTGGGCAAAACGCGGCAGCCAATTGCACACAGGAGTGTCCCACAAACAGTCGTGGATTGAGTGACCAATTTATTTATTTATTATTATTTTACTTATTATATACTGAAGGCTGCTGATGTTTATATAATGAGCTTGAGTTTTGGAGTAAATATTAAGGTGGTGGGGGGTAAAGATGATAGTTTTACAAATTATTGATTTTTGCTGTGGTCTCTCTTTGTAATACTATCCTCAAGATTCCTCTCCTAACTGTAAAGAGGGAATCACTTTGTGTGTAAGATGTCCCCAACACTTCAGTATTTTTATGACTACTGTTGGAAGTTGTAATGGAAATAAAAGCGATTGAAAATGATTGATTTTGAAAATAAAGAAGTTAGATTAGCAACAAACTCATCAGAATATGAGAGAACTACATTAAACAATAAACGAGCCAAGGACACTCTGGCAATAGTATTCTGAATAGCTGGTTGGATTCACTGACAATCAGCTACTGCACTAAGCCCAAAGGCCCTATATTAGGCACAGCATCATGCAAATAGTCTTGTCATTTATCTATAGTGTTAGTTAATTCTATTTTAATAGTCATCATGCCGTGTTGTAAAATATTAAGGTGGCAGATACATTCAAGTTGTTTAGAGTTTGATGTCATGCATATATTTTCTCAATTTATCAATATGGGAAGATCCATTTAAGCTTTGTACAAGAATACAAAAGACAGGCAGTGCGAATGCAGCAGAAAGATGCATCTGTTTGAGAAGACAAAAACATTGCAGGTATTTACTCACTCTTATCTCTACCTTGTGTTGAAAAGGTGAAAGATTGAGTTTAGCATTAAGGAGTTGATTTTTAATGATTCTGTGCAGTAACCTTTGTCATCCTAATTTGTAGGATCGGTGATTGGGAGACCATCACTGCAAATTCACTAATGAATGCCATTAAGTTTTCCATAACCAGTTATACCCCAGAGACCAATTTCTCATGTTAAATCTCATTTCAAATGTTTAAATCAATATTACGTTATCATTCCTTATACACTGCTGCAAAACCAAAAAGCAGATCTAAGATTGGGGGGCGGGGGGGTTAGGGAGTATTAAAAAATAGAACAAATTACGCTTTTAATGAAAAAAGTCAATAATTTTCCTAATTTATTTCAGATTATTAATTTTACTGTTTTTTGCAGTTTTTGAAAAATGCCATAAACACTGATTTCAACCAATTTTGTCCGATTGTTAAATTTGAGCTAAAAGCTAAAATTTTAAATCAAAACAGTTAACTTATTATTTATTTAAATTTTCATTTGCGTACAAACACTTATTCATTCCTCTGTTGTCACAACTCCTCTTGCACAATCTCTGGCCTAAACAGTAATATGCAACTGACTTAAAGTTTTAAGCATATAATAATAATAATAATCTTTGCATTTGATATAGTGCCTTATCACATCTTCGGGGAGTCTAAAAGCGCTTCACAGAATATACTGTAAAATGAATTGACTATATTTTGTGGGCGTATATAATAAGCTAGCTGCAAAACGTTAACAACTATTTCATAAATGCTGTGGATTTAGAATATAATATACATTTAATATAGTACCTTCACGTTGGGAGTACACCCCAAAGAGCTTGACACTGCTGGTTAAGCATCCAAGCTGTGAGTTGGGAGTTGAACAGGGTGGGGAGGAGAAAGATAACCAAAAGATATATTTTGAGGTGGGCTTTGAACGTGAGCAGAAAGGGAGCGAGTCAGAAGGACACTGGGATGGAGTTCCAGAGATCTGGATGGCAGATTAAAACTGAACTTTCACAAATACTGGTTTCACCTTTATTTGCTGACAGCCATAATCGAGGGAACTGACTTCAAAGAGTTTATATACTCAGACCAACAGTCTGCGGAAGCTCAATTAACATGGACAGATATAGTCAATAATTCAGATGCTTCAGTGATTTTGTGGTTGTTAATTCAAGTTCTTTCCATTGAAAGCTGCAGAATGTCCTCCAGGTTAATGCTTATGATAATATCATCAGTAAGTTGCTGTGCGCAAATTGGCTGCTGTCTTCACCTACAAAAATACAGTCACTACACTTAACAGTAAATCTTGTGAATTGCTTTGAGAGGTCTTCCTGGTGTGAAAGATGCTATATCAAATGCAAGCTTTAATATTATTATTATTGTTGTTGTACTCATTGTTTAAACAGAACTATTCGACAATGTAACAGAAAAGAAGAATTATTTGCATCAATTTGATTTTTTCCATTAAAAAAAGGGAATGGTGAGCCTTTGTTTAATAACATTTGGGCCAAGCTGTTAAACCGTTTTGGAAGGTGATCAGGATGCTGTGCATTAATCTGTCAAGAACAGATTGCTTTGACATTTCCAGGAGATTACTTCATTCCACCTAAAGGATAGGGTTTGACTGATCATGAAATAGCTGATGAGTCCAAGCCAGTAATGATGGAAATGCAATCTTTATTGTGGAGTGCAGTTAGTTTATGTTTATTCCATGGTGTGCTTGTGAATACAACATGTACATTAATACAATGAAATGATATTAAAATGTTGCTCCAATAGCCACAGAAGCAATACAGAAGGTATCGGTAGAAATAATTGCTCTCTTTTGAAGGTCTTTATTATTATTGCTGGTTAATGCAGACATCTGCATGTCGTGCATTCTTATGAGTTGCACAACCAACATGTACATTAAGTTACAAGCGGGTCAGAAGGCAGCTTCACAACTCAAGTGCTGCAGAACTTACAAGATTTCTTTAAAATGCAACTTGAATCGTTTAGTGATAATGAATCACTCAACATTACAATGGTGCACGTCAATTCTTCAAAGCTCCCAGCCCTCCTATGATTGAAGTGTTGGGTGTCAGCTTGTGACTCAGACTTCCATGATGTGTTTAGTCAACTTCTACCCTGACTATCCCTTTAACATACATTAATCGACCTGGTTATGTTTGGAACTTTTTCCAAATAAGATACATTTTGTTTCCGTTCTAGTTTTAAAATGTACTCCTGTGGTGTGCACTGCAATCTATTCTCGGGCTAAGACCATGGAATCGTAGCAGTTAATTCACAGTTAGCAAATGCCCAAGATCAGTTCAGATGGACTGCTCCATCCCCTTATCTACTAGGATTGTCATTTTCGGCAAATGTAATACAAGTAAAGGTTGATGCAACCTCAAGCCTGCTATGGATTCCAAATGCCAGTTACTTCTTAAAATCATCCAACAAAAAAACATTCTCTATATTGTTGGAATAAAGACCTCAGTGTGTTTAAAAAAAGAGGTTCGGAAGGGGTTAATATTTCTAACCTAAAACTTCAGGAAGTGACTAAAATACTAAAAAATAATTTAGATGAATTCTTCTTTAAACTAAGGTTGTGGCCTGAAAGGTGGGATGGTATAAATTCATTCTATTTGAGAAATATTACGACTTTAATCTACCAATCAGTCTTCCGTTCCCTGTAGGAGATACTAGGGGAAAATCCATTATAAGGTACTTAGATATCCAGAAATCTTGTAGTTCAAATATCTCTTGTTCTGCTTCATGGGTTTCTGAACTACATATAATAAATTGCAGAAAATGAAGATTAAATTATACCAAAAATTAAACCATTGATTTTTTCCAATATATTTTAGAACAAGATTTACATTGATTTTAATAGGCTCCTAGGTCTCTATGGTATAGACTTTATAGTGGAGTTTTGTACATTAGTTCATTAAGGGCTCTATCTCTGCAGTTTTCAAACTAATTTTAAAGTGGCTTTTTCTAATAAAACAATTCTAAATAACTAGGCAGAATCCATTTGAAATCTACTCTCAAAATGGTTGAAAGCCAAGCTCTCATTCAATACTGTCTTAATTTTCAGTATACTTTTTGTTATAAGCTTTGCCATGGAATAATAAAACTCAAAT